TAGATTATATAGTGTATAAAATGAATATATACAGGGGGGCAAAAGTAGGTTTACAGTTGTTCATATGAAAAATACAATAATCAATCAATAATAATACAAGAACAAACTGTTTCATGTATTCACAACTGTAAACCTACTTTTGCCGCATCCTGTAGTTGATAATGCAGAGGGAAATGGCCCACAGAAGTTTAAACATAAAGCTTAAATCTTTTAAGGCTGTGAAAGTATTTCTTCTCCAATGCATTCAAATTCTATGTTTTGAATTTGTAATAAAAAAACCTAACTCAAAATAACTTTGACATGCATTTATATATAAAAAATATGTGAATGAATTGCTAGCCAACCTACATTATGTTCAGTAAAAAGAGATTTAATAAAAAGCATTTATTAAAATTGTTATACTACCTCAAATATATTTGAGAAACCCACAAATTCAAAATGCATTTGGTAGTGGCAGCCTAATGGTGTGCAAAGCAGAGTGCCATGCTCTGGGGATATACAGACAACCAAAATCATGGTGCCTGACTCATGAGTTTATGTCTACCAAGAGCGAGACAGATAAGTTCAAAAGCACTTTTTTAAAATTTATTTTTAGTGAAGTATAGCTGACATACAATACTATATTAGTTTCAGGTGTACAACGTAGTGATTTAACATTTATATACCTTGTGATATGATCACCATAAGTCTAGAAACTGTCACCGTACAATGTTATTGTAATATTTTTGACTATATTCATTCATTGTGCTGTAAATTACATCCTGTGCCTTATTTTACATCTTGTACACTTTGCTTGTTTTTTAGATTCCACATATAAGTGAAATCATATGGTATTTGTCTTTCTCTGTCTGATTTATTTCATTTAGCATAATACTCTCTAGGTCCATCCATGTTGTCATAAATGGCAAGATTTCATTCCTCTTTGTTGCTGAGCAATATTCCATTTTATTGCTGAGTTATATGTATAGATATCCCATATCTTTATCCATCTATCAGTGAACACCTAAGTTGTTTCCATATATTGGCTATTGTAAATTATGATGCAATAAACAGAGGGATGCATACATCTTTTTAAATTAGTGTTTTTGTTTTCTTCAGATAAATATTTAGAAGTGGACCTGTTGGGTTATATGGTAATTCTAGTTTTAGTTGTTTTGAGGAACCTTCATTCATACTGTTTTCCATAGTGGCTACAAAGGGCTCCCCTTTCTCCACATCTTCACCAGGACTTGGTATTTGTTGACTTTTTGATAATAGCTATTTTGACAGTGTGCAGTGATATCTCATTGTGGGTTTGATTTGCATTTCCCTGTTTAGTAATGTTGAGCTTCTTTTCATATCTATTGGCTATCAGTATGTCTTCTGTGGAGAAATGTCTATTCAGGCCCTCTGCCCATTTTTAAATCAGACTGCTTGTTTGATGTTGAGTAGTATGATTTGTTTATATATTTTGATATTAATTCTTTATTGACTATATCATTAGTAAATATCTTCTCTTATTCAGTGGGTTGTCCTTTTATTTTGTTGATGATTTCCTTCACTGTACAAAATCTTTTTAGTTTGATGTAGTAAATTTTTAATTTTTACTTTTGTTGCCCTTGTGCAAGATGACTGCCAAAATAATTGCTAAGACCCATGTGAAAGAGATTACTGTCTATGTTTTTTTCTAGGAGTTTTATGTTTTTACTTATTTATTCATAAACATTTATTAAAAGAAATGAGAAAGGATCTAGTTAATATCATCTTGACACTTCAAACATATTTTCTTTCTTTCTTTTTAGATTGTTGACACTATTACAGATTTCCCCCATACCCCCTTTTGCCCCCTCCACCCAGCCTGCATTCTCCCAATTGGAGTGACATTGGTTAATAAAATTATATAGGTTTCAGGGTTACAGTTTAAATTGCTGTTTTATCACTGTGGCTTAGGGCATGTGAATCTGTACACAGGCCCTACTGCACAGTAAGGTTCCCTTGGTTACCACATCTCCCACCCTTCTTTATGTGATCCCTCTCTTATTTTTTTGCAGAAGGTGTTCTATAAGCCCTCAGTGTTTTTTCAGGAAGAACTGCTCCATATGTAGGTGCACATTCAGTGTTTTTGCTGGAGAAGGTGTGTTCAAAATCTTCCTACACCACCAAGTTGAACCCCAATAAGCTAATAATTTCAATGTAACATAGTTCTTTGATAAAGCTATGATGTACCTAGGCTGAACTTTTGAGGTCAAGGATGGGGTGGAAGGGTTCAATGCCACTAAGTACATTCACATTGCTGTACAAACATCACTGCCATCTATTTCCAAAACTTACGTTACTTTGATTTTTTAAAAAGTATTAATTGATGTAAGAATCAAGACCCACTTATCACCTGCCTTTCCATTTTATATATTACACTTAAAGAAAAATAGAACTTCTGTGCTCTAAAATTATATCTAGAGCAATTCCTGCATAAATTAAAGATCAGCTTATGGATATTTAAATTATAATTTTAACATTCTACCAATTCTTATGTCATATAAGAATAGCACTGTGTTATTGAATTGAAGCAAAGAACACTTCTTAGTTAAACCATACCAATGCTAAGAATACTAAACGTTTTCTTCAGTTGAAGTCAAATTTAAAGTTCAGAACTCCATGCAGTTCTAGGAAAAGTAGAGTATGCCAGAATGTGAAATAATAATGAGACATAGTCTAGTACACTTCTTGGCCCACTGTAGACTGTAATAAATGTTTTATATGAATAAAGGCATTTACAAGGAGAGAAAATTAAATGTGTTATATAAAATATGTTATATAAAATATGTTATTAATTTAACAATTGTATAGATCACGATAATTAATAGGCAAAATGAATGGCCAATTACTAATTGAAAGCAAGCAACAAATGTATTACAAGTACTTGTGTCAACTAAGCTAAAATTATTCTAAAACATTAATTAGATTTTAATAGATGTAGAGATTTAAAAGCTGTAGCAAAGCAGCAAGTGATTTACCGAGGGTCACTCTGGAGGGGTGTTGTCACAAGGATGAACGGGGGCCTTTTCAGGTTGAGGTCCACAGTGGGGAGTAGCCAAGAAGAGTGGGACAGTGGAGCCAGGCCACCTCTGTTTCAATTTCTACTCTGCCACTTATTATATTTGTGGAATCAGGCAAATTATTTAACCTTAATTTATTATTATGCCTCAGTTGCTTTATCCATTAAATGAAGCCAATCCTAAGTTTTTGTGAATTGAATGTGTCAATATAGGTCAGGTGTCTCAAACTGTACACGGCACAAACTAAAGGCTTAATGAATGTCAGATATTATTGCCATTAATCTTTCATGATTTAAAACACAGCATAAAAACTAAATTCCCCTTATCCCTGAAAAGAGTCTGAAATAACACTGAGTACTAATGGAAGGTGTTTGTTTTCATTGTCTTTCATTTATTCTCTTGGGACCCAGGCTGATGAAAAGTGACCTTTTATGAAAGACAAGAATAATGCTATTACCACAGCCACTACCATCCTGGAACATATCTGACCTTGAGTAAGTTATTTAACCTTCCAAAGCCTCAGTTTTCACCATCTGAAAAATGGTGATAACCATTATTTAAAGTTTGTGTAAATATTTAATAAGTACTAAAATAATGTGTTATGGCGATTATACCTCAATTAAAAAAATACATGTAATACTAGCACTTAGCACAATGCTTATACTAATCTAATATTAAGACTTCTCCTATCACTCTCGAAACAGTTTCGCGCCCAATCTTAAGGTAAGAGCTAACATTGATTCATCTCTTTCTCTCATCCCTTATCCCTCACCCCAAGGGAACTCATTAGCAAACTCTTTCTGTTTCAGTTCCAGAATGTAGCTCAGATCCATCCAAATGCCTGTCACTATCCTTGTCCAGCCCCAGACTACTCTAATAGATCTTGTCGCCCAGCTGCTGGTCAGAACAATCCATTCTCCACGTAGAGCCAAGGTGAACTTGAAAGCATATCAATCAGGTGATGCTCAAAGCCTTCAATAGCTTCCTATTACCCTTAGAATCAGATGCTCGCTCTTTACAGTCATTTTTCTACATGACCTGACCCCTGTTCATCTTTTACTTTACCTCTTACCACTTTTCCCCCACCTCCAGAGGCTCTGGTCACACCCTCCTTACTGTTTCTTTAACACACTGAGCTTCCACTCTTCTTTCAAAGAGGCCTCCGAGATCCACCTATAAAGTAGTATCCTCAATACTCCACCCAGTTCCTCTTCATTAATTCTGCCTTGTTCTTTTCAAACCTCTTGTAATGGGAAGTTATACTTATATATCCACTTACACTTATTTAATGTCCTACTATCAGAAGTAAGCTCCTTGAAGATAATTATATTATTGGTCATGGTCTATTCCCTGTTTTATTATTTCATTGTTCTATTATGGATCATGATCATGTTCCTATTCTTAGTGCCAACAGCAGTGCCTAGCATATTTTTGAAATGTAATAAAATATTCATTATACAAATGAAAATAGAAATTTAGGGGTATAAATATCTGACAAATCATATCTCATTATGAAGAAAACTATAGGGGGAGTTTTTCTATAGAGAAGGAAGCCCTCAAATCCCCAAATGGAGGCAAAAGGACAGATGGGAGACTTTTTTCTGGAGGTCTCATATATAATTTCCTCATAAACTATTCTGAAATAAGTACAAAAAAGGTTAAGAGAAACTTTATCAGCTTTGTTTCATTCTAGAGTGTATAATTGGTCTGTGGTATTTAAAGGTTTACTTAGGCTAACACAAACATTCCGAAGATAAATCACTGTCAAGGGCATATAATGCCTAAAACCTCAATGCAATGGCTCTGTAACATAAATAAGGGAAAAAAGGGTAAATGGTGATAGGTCCAAAGCTTAGATATTATGATTATTTAGTTGTAGAAGTATGGGATTAGTTAGTTATAGGAGTATATAATACTTAGTAAGCAAAAATGAAAGTGACGTAGAATTTCAGCTACTCTACTCACTGTGCATGGGGTCTGCATCCATGGTTCCCCATCGATCTGCATTGGCAAAGACTTGCTAGTCCTGGAAGAAAATATTTTATTTTAGGTAAAACACTGAAATACTTTACCTAACAGAACTACATATGTAAGATACAAGATGATGAGGCCAGGAAATGTGAATATGTTAATAGCTGGGCCCTAAAATTATCAGTTTTAAAAGGGACTTCAACTCTTGCTTATTAATGAATATCCTGAAATGCACGTTGATCACAGGGATGTTGAGTTTCTGGTAAATGTGGTGATATAAACAAAGACTCTGATGTCCCCCCAATATATAGGGTATATGTTTGATGGGAAAATCAGAATTCCTACAACCAGAAGAGGTTCCTTGTTTTTATGCAAACCCACACTGCAAAGCTGGTAAAAAGTGTTTGATACCTCGGATTTTCCAATATCAACACTTTCATATAAATAACACCAATTATATCTGTACTGTAATCCATGCTTTCACCTTACCTTTTTTACTACAGGTAAAATTTTGGAAAAAGTATTTCTTGACAAGGTTGAAATTGAAAACATATATAAAATCTTAATTATTCTGATGATTAATTATTTAATTTTATAGAAAAACTGGTGCACTTTAGTCCATGAAAGAATTTAAGTTAATCATGTTTTAACAGTGTTTTCATTGGGTAATTTGCCCAGCAGCTACTTCGATGCTCCAGTGAACTAAACTGAGTGTGACCCAGATTGGAGGGGATGAAATTTGTATGTTAGAATTGAATCCATGGTTTCAATAAGAGAATAACTAATCCCAATGAACCTGATAATAATAGCTAACCAATTTTCATTATTTTGAAATGTATCAGTATTAATCATTGATAACTTGAGGCACAAATAAGACAAATGTTGCTATCAGAGCCTTGCATTCTTATAATTAGTTTGTAGTTATGCCATGTCAACCCCTTTTTTCAACTGTAAAGAACTACCTGATGACCACAGAGGAGCACTGGGCCAGCCGCCTCCCAGCACTTTTCAGTCCCGTGTATATTTGCCCCATCTCCATGGCTCCTTCCAAGCCAACCACCTCCAGCAACTGGTCACTCAGATCTGAAAGGAAACAGAAGTCTTGTAAGTTATAGTGCATAAGCACATGTGTACAATTAAGTGGCATTAGACACTGAGTTAAAAAATAAAAGCTACTTCCAAAGAAAGCTTCTCTGTCTTGGATACTGAAAGTAATGAAAAGATGGCCTATTTATGAAATTCTCAGTTTAACTAAACCTTGAGGTGCTGTGGGAAAAGATTTGCTGTCAGCTTACTCTAAAACAAAATGGCAAGAATGGATCGTGAGCCAAATAATGCCAAAAAATATACCAGTAGTTTTTAACATCAACAAACTTAATGTTATTCCACATGTATATGTAGAACATTATACATCCCACATCAGACACTTGGCAGCTAACACACATTTCAGCACTATAAATAAAGTATGAGAATACGCTGTCAAATAAGATTTTGTTAAATCACTCCAACGAAAGACCTAAGAGATCATGCAATTAAAGTTCTCATTTTAGAGAGAAGGCTGAGCCTCTAAGTCACTGAGTGACTTGTACAGAGTCAGACGTAACTCCACGCATAAGTTCAAGAAACAATATTAATTTCGTGAAATGTTTTCCTGATGATAGGAATACACAATGGAAATACTATTTGGAAGTAGACTAGATAATTAGCACAGTACAATCATTTTTGTTAACAGAGGACAGGAGAAAGAGGTGGATAGTAATAAGCATTGCCTTTGAGCATTTACAAAGTGCCTGTCACTGGACTTTCTATATATATTATCTTGTTTGCTCCACCTGAAAGCCATTTGAAGACAAACATGATTATTCCCATTTATAGACACAGAAGCTGAGAATTACAGAAGTTAACTAATTTATTCATATCCACATACCCAGGAAGCGACAGAGCCAGAGTTTGAACCCAACCACTTTGACGCATTAACCACTTTGCTATTTTTGATAAATCAGCCATATAAAAAAGAAAACCTTGAAAAATTAGAGAAATGTTTCTTTCGTAGGAGGGGAGATGGGAGGGACTTTTTTACTGAGCCAGAAAAGCAAAGGTTGCACTCGCGTCAGTAGAATCCCATAGGACCCAGCTCTACACGCAGCCCGTGAGCTTACCTACTGAGCTCAGAATGCTTGAACTTGGACTTGGAGGTAAAATCCTAGATGCACATATATGGTCTTTTAATATTCTCATGAATTTTCAAATGTAAATAAGTAGTTTAATATTGCTTTAGTAGCGAAAAAAGCTGGAGGTTGTGTCAGATTGGGCAGGTCTGACGATTACACGAGGTAATCTTGTAATGGTGATAGTTGAAGTTCTTGAAGGAAAACAGGCAAATATGTTTCATCTGGACTCCATTTTGTAGGGAAAATCTTCATTCTCTGCTAATCAATTTTAGCATGGAATTCAGAGATGGAGATGATACATTTTCAGGGTCATTCAAGTGTGTGGCAAATAGCACTTTGAAATCCCAAAGTTTGTTAGGCCCATGATCACTGGCAAATTTAATATAAACCTTTGAAATAGAAAGTCTGACCAAGTATTTTTTCAAGTAAACTGATAAAAAAATTTATATTTTTAAACTTTAAGCTACAGCTGCAATATTAGATTTCTCTAAGTAAAAACAACCTTTTAACCCAAAGTCAAATGTTAACAAGTCATAATAATTTAGAGCATTCACCTTGCTGTTCTAAACCCTATGTAGACTTATTTCTCATGAAACTTATTCTGTTTCTAGTTTAAATTTATATTGCCAAGAACAGATGGACAAGAAATGGAAACATATTCTTTCAGCTGTAGCCGGCACTAAAATGTGCTTGGCTCTATAGCCTGGGTGTAAATACAGCATTTCTTAGATACGTCAACCAGGAAACTACACTGTGGCAAGCACAAAAGCCACAGATGTGTGCCTGGTGACATCTATAAAACCACCACCACAACAAGAAGATTGAAGTTCGTGTATTGTATTATACATTTTGCACTGCCCGATTTGTGAGCAGGTGAAATTGCATGCTAATTTGTAGTGATCTGGTTGATAAGAACTATTCTACAAGAAATGAAACACTTTCTCACAACAGAGTTAATCTGTGAGCCCTAACTTTTCCATGAATCACAGGGATTTTCTACACCCACACCATATTGCTACTGTCTACCACTCTCTTCCTAATTTTTTTCTTTCTTTTAATTTGTCTTTCTATTTCTCCTGGCAAAAATGCCCTGATATTCAATTCAACCATTAATAATCATTAATGATGTATTTCTGGTGGATTTAGAAGACTGATGCTTTCAAACTTTCATGTTCTTGCTAACACAAAGAACTGCATAGAAAGGGTAGAATATTTACTAACTCTGGCAAAGGTAAATAAATACATATTCCTTTTAATTAGGTGCTCAGAAAAAAATAAAAACAAACTCTAAATTTGTGCTGCACAAATTTGCTCCCATAACACTTTCACAGTTTTTGATACAACAGTCTGCAGTGTCTGTGTACAACTGATGCCTCTTACATATTGTTTTTGAGATCAGGGGCCCTGATTGATTTCAGACTAAGATAGTTTCTGTCTATATAACTTTGAACTCTATTTCTATATGCAGTAATATCTAAAAATATCAAAGACTTTCTCACTTCACGTTTTAGCTAAGTTTTATTTGAAGTGCAAGACCCCTTGGGAAGTAATGACCAACCAGATGAACCTATTTAATTGGTTTGCTACCTGGCTACTGATTTTATACTTAAGAGTAAGAGTAGCTAACTACAGCCCATGAATAAAATCTGGCCCACTGCCTATTTTTACATGGCTTGTTAGTTAAAGATGGTCTTTATATGCTTACAAAGTAGAAAATTTTTTCAAAGAATAATATATTGTGACATCTGAAGATTATATAAAATTCAAATTTCAGTGTTCATAAATTAGTTTTTACTGGAACACAGCCACACTCATTCGTTTAGGTTTTGTCTATGTTTGCTTTCACACTACAATAGCGGAGTAGTTGCAACAGAGACCATATGGCCCACAAAGCCTAAAACAGTGACTATATGGACCTTTAGAGAAAAAGTGCCAAGCTCTGCTTAAGAGAACATTAACTCTTCCAGGCCAATGAGGATTTCACTTTAGCATTGCCCCTAGAGTTGGTAAATGGCATTAGGGTGGCCTAAAAGTCCCAATTCCTCAGTGCATGTATCTCTGTGTAGAACACTGTTCTCAACCATGCAGTCCCACCACAATCGTGTGCAGTGAGGTATCTCACAATCAGTTTGTTATTAATAATGAAATACCCATGTGTCCATAAGCTTTATGATAAAAAGAACTAGAGCAGCTTAACGTTCAACATTCAGCTCAGCCATTGCATACTGGTTGGCTTCCTTGAGTGTGAGAAAAAGAAGTAGAGTATAGGTAGGAAAGCAAAAGTTGCATCCAGACCTGAACATCCAGGTGAGTCAGATGACCTGTGTGAGTCACCTACCAAGTATTGAGAAATCCTACATCTTGATATTCTGAAGTGTTTGTCTATCCAGAGGAAGATACTGCTTTTGTTTTGGGAGAAACAGTGCATTTCTGAAAGAACTGACATGTCTTTCCCAATGCTCCATGGGGTAACGGAGGCAAGAGAATCTGTCAAATTTGGTATTTTCATATTTAAAATAAAAAGGTCTATAATAAGTGCTTCAGAAGAAAGAAACTTAGTGAAACAACCCAAACTGGATGACATTAGAGCAAGATTTTCAACACTGGGTCAGTGACTCTGAATGCAGAAAAACACCATTTTATTTACACTAATATATAATTGAAGATAAGTACTTCTTTCAAGTACAAATTTAGGGAAGAAATCATAGTTGTAGTAAAAATACCTGTGACTTTGCCACTGACAGATATCAGATATTTTCTTATCATAGCGATTTTCAACCTTTTTCATCTCATGGCACACATCAACTAATTAATAAAATTCTGTGGTACACCAAAAAATATATTATACTTTTTGCTGATCTGACAAAAACCAACAACAAACTTACCACCATCACAAACAAAAAAACAGGTAATTTTGACTGATTTACAAACAATAATAATAATAATAATAATAATAATAATAGTAATTACCTACCCTTTTTGCTTCTAAGTGACTTTTTAAAAAATCAGGTGCCAATACCTGTATATAAAGATTTCTGGTACCAAGAATTAACCAATCAGGCACAACTTCATTATGCGATGTGACCAATAAGATGCCGCCCTAGTATATGACCTATGTATTTTGGTTCAAGACAGGGCAGTCACACCGAAGGCTATTGTTATGTTGGCTGTTGTCATTTTTCTTTTTTTGACAATCTAAGGGAAAAGAGGTCAGTGCCCTTGACTAAATAGTCAGGTATTGCATGTTTTACAAATTTCAGCACACTGGTTGAAAATTGTGGCCTTATCACATTACAGTTGTTGGAGTGTTTCAAAATGCTATTTATACTAATTATTACTTTTACATCTTCATACTTATTGATCCTCTGTTAGATTTTTAAAGTTAACTTATTAAAAAAGAAGCTCACATATTACTAAATCAAAATTTTAACAGCATTTCAATATAATTGGTATTTTTAACCTGTAAAACTTTGTTAGCCTGTATATATTTTTATGAGTTTTAAAACATTGCTCTGAGAAGAGCCTGAGAAGAGTCTGTAGACTTGCAGAAAGGACTACAGCACAAACGGTTAAGAAGCCCTTCCTTAGAGTTTAACTTGCCTTTGACTTTGTAAATCTTTCCTGAATGTCGTCAGTGCTGCATCGCTTTGTTCCACAGTGATCGGGGGTAGGACTGTAAAGACCCGAAAGTCAGGGGTGAGGTAGATTCCAGAGCACAGGAGCGGCACAGCTACTAAGTGGGCAGTGTTTGTTCATAGCTTAATCTCATCATTTTGACAGTTATGCCCTGTTAATAAGTCTCATTATGTAATTGTTTCAGACTGCCATATGTGAGGGACAGGAGAGGATGCCTTACACACACAGACGGCATGTGGGCTGGAGCATTTCATAGAATATAGTGTGTACTGAAGT